TGGAAGGGGCGAGAGGGGGAGAGTGGGAGGGGGTGGGGCGCGCGCAGCGCGCCGTGCTAAAGACACTTGCAACTGGTTCGTTAAAGATATAAGATTTAAGCCTGCTACAGACTGCACGCAGCAAGCAGCAAGCGTCGAGCAGCAGCCAATCAACGAAGAGATATTTTCTACGCCACTGCTGACGCTTCCGTAAAATTCAACAGTGTTGGATTTTGGGCGAGCAGCGAAGCAGCGGAGAAAGTATCTAACTCAAGCTGACCTAAGTTAACCTTCATGTTCTTGTCGGCGTCTCTTGGTGAACCTTCTGGTCGGCGTCTCTTCTGAACTTGTGTAAAATATTATAATGGAAGAAGAACGAGAATATTTCGTAAGTAACATAGTTCACATGCAACAATAGACATTCAAGAATTCAATAATAAATATAAAATAATTATTTTTAAAGAATTACGTGTTATATCAAATTATAACGAACTGTCACTTGTCTAATTTTTAATATTTTAATTCTCGGCAAAATCAAGAATAAAATCATGTGAATAATGTGCACATTATTGATCATGCACTTGAAATGTTTTATTTATTCCGTTTCAGCTATGTGGAAGCTGCGGCAAGGAAATGCCAGATGAATTTTGTCGTGACTGTGGATTTATAGGCGATAATGACGACTTGGATCCAGACAATGAGTATAGTTTGGAAGAATTGCTCATTAGCGAAGTACATAGGAGACGTGAGCTATGGGATATTACCTGTGATGTTAAACTTCGAGGACCAGTGTCACAGTCAAAAGCATGGGCTGCTGTTGCTGAGGCTCTTAGTGCGTATATTATCAATCTTATGTATCGTTGCTTTGTAATGAAATTTAGTAACACTTTTTCCAATATAGATATCGAACCTGAACGTGCAAAAAAACGGTGGAAAACATTGCGCGATAGGTATGCGCGAAAATTGGCGGAACAAAAAGCATATGTGCCATCAGGCAGTGGTACATCTGCTGTGCCACCTGAGGAAAAATGGCAGTTTTTCAAATGCCTTGAATTTTTGAAACCAATGATTGGCTACAGAAAGTAATAACTATATTATTCTGGGTTTTCTGTTTTATTAAATGTACAGCTTGTTATGTTTCTTCTTTATTTTACAGGACTACCACTAACAAGAGCTTACTTTTTGGAAGTGGTTCAAAAACATCATTACCTTCTTTTTCTGCAGCCAATGAAAATTTAAATATTTCAAGAACATCATCACCTTCTATCTCTGCAGCAAATGAAAATGTAACTGGGTCAAGAGCATCATCACCTATTTTTCCAGCCAATGAAAATTTTTCAAGATTTTCTACACCGTCGCCTACCACCACTGAAAGATTTGGTACCGTCATTACATTCTTACAATGATATTAGATTTATAGTTACAAATTTTATATTATTTTTTTATCCGTAGGTAAAACAAAAAAACGCAGACTAAATAGTGCCAGTTCAATTGACACAGGCTTTGAAAGCAACTTACTGGAAGCACTTAATCGGCCACCTCCTCCTCCTCAAGATGATATTGACTCCTTCTGTTCGTTCTTGGCAACACGTTTGAGGAAACTTGAACCCCGACTATACAAATATCTTTCTCATACTATTATGAATGAGTTGATCAAGACCGAATTGCAACAACAAGAGGAGTACGATGAAGAGTATTACTAATATTTTATGATAATATTCGATCAGTTTGTTTTGCGCGAAAAAAATTGTACATTTCAGATATTTTCTTTCCAGTCAGTTAATTTCAAGATATTCTCTATAAATAAATATATGATTTTTTCATGACAATTTGTACATAATTACATACTATGTGAATGAAGGATTCTTTTATTATTGTAGCTTTTTGTGCATACTATTATGCATAATGTGGTCGGATACTTTATAAAATTCTGAAGTATTAGGCTGATATTTCATGTCTCGTACAGCAAAGATTTTAAGCCTGTTAATCGGATATAGGATAGAGAGATTAGAGAACTTCAATTTCTTGCAGCCAATCAACAGACTTAAAATCTTTGTCGTAAGCTATTACGTTGCTTTGTACTCTGACCCTTAAATGACAGTACTACATCAATGAACATTTTAGGTCTATTATTTATAGCTGAACTGGCTGCACTAGTTCAAAGTTTATCTTTCTCCTTCCAGTGTGGAGGGAAAAAGATGAATTCTCCTGTTGTTACAATCTAAAATGGTATATTATACAATATTTTGTTTTCTTTTTAAATTGTTTACAGACAATCCATGAGATGAGACCACCTTATTATCAGGACAAAAGAAATAAAACATGTTCCTAATATTTTATACCATTGCTTCAATAAAATATATATTTTAAAAGAACCATATAAAATATGCGTACAATATCTTACTAGACCTAGAAGATTGACTCAATTTATAAATATTTAGGTATCTTATAGTGCAAGAAAAAATTGTCGGAAACAAAGACGATATCGGGTTCGACCTATAATTCGTGAGCGAATTATCAAGGTGATGACCATCATCTAATAAATGAGATACGACTAGTGGATCAAGAAGCACACTTCCAAAATTGTCGAATAAGTGTAGCAAAATGTGATAATTTATTGCAACGCGTGCCTGAGATCCCACTGCCAAGGAACGGTACCTTCGTTTAAAAAATAGTCTTTAAATTCATTTCGCCTCTCGGCAGCGTAGCGAGAATGCGCTTGACCTCCAGCACGCCCAACTCTATGAAAGGCTGTATTATCCAAGTCCATTTGTCGCCATTGTCCTTCAACGATGTCACCATTGCGGGCTACAGAATCCCCAAATAATGGAGGACAGTATGCTGGCTCCGGCAATAAAAAGTTGTGGAGTACTACAGCTGCTTTTACTATTTTTTCGGCCGTTTCAAGAGATGCTGTTATTGGTCCTTAAAATATGCGAAATCGTGCAACCATGATTCCAAAGGCATTCTCAACAACTCTTCTCGCTCGACTTAGACGATAGTTAAATATTCTTTGTTCTTCAGTTATACTTCTTCCTGGATAGGGTCTTAATGTAAATTTATTTAACTGAAATGCTTCATCAGCCACGATCATATATGGAAGAGATGGTCCATTAATATGAAGTGGCGATGGCAATGGAATATTTAGTTGTTCTTGGTGAAATTTTTGGCCCATTACAGAGTTTAAAAAAACTCCACCATCACTATGGCGACCTTGAGCACCAATATCGACGAGCATGAATCGGTATGAAGCAGACGCAATGGCCATCAGTACAATACTGTGAAATCCTTTATAATTGTAGTACATTGAGCCAGCATTGCTTGGACACTAAAACAAAAAATATCCAGTATATTTATATTTTTAAATCGGCTATTATATTTTTACAATGGCGTCACAGATGCCTTTTAACAATTCATGGATTGTTTTCTGACATACCTTGATCGCCACATGTTTGCCATCGATAGCACCGATGCAATGAGGGAACTGCCAACAGTCGTTAAATTCAGCAGCTATTCTTTTCCAGTTTTCGTCTGAAGGCTCCAACAGTTCATCCTGTAACACTTCCCACAGTGCATCACAGGTTTCTGATACAATTTGTGAAACTGTACTTCTCCCTATTCGATAGGCATAAGCCATTGAACTCATTGCATCTCCAGATGCTAAATAGCTTTGAATAAAAAGTCAAAAGTAAAACCAATATCAAACTAATGCTATTTGCATTAATACAAGAAACTTTTTCGAGGCTTTTCCTTCTCTTGAAGAATAATACAAGAAACACTCACCGAAGGGTTACATACAATCTGTCTCTGGCAGATATAGGCTCTCTGAAATTTGTAAACTGTTTTTCAATTAATGGTTGCACCCGCTGCAATAAACTATCAAATTTTGCTACACTCATTCGACAATATTGGAAATGTGCTTCTTGATCCACTAGTCGCATCTCATTTATTAGATGATGACCATCACCCTGATTAATTCGCTCACGAATTATAGGCCGAATCCAATATCGTCTTTGTTTCCGACGATTTTTTCGTTGGCGACAAATATATAATATTGCTAATATAATTAACTTCCGTCTGCGTTCTAAATATTCAATTTCGTTGTACATTGCGCGCTTTTATACAAGGCTTTTATAGGCTATGTTTATGTCGACGCGTGCGGCAGCGTCAGGCAGCGTGCGGTCAGTGTGAACCGTCACGAAACAACCAGCAAGCAGCAAGCGCTCGCTGCTCGACGCTTGCTGCTTGCTGCGTGCAGTCTGTAGCAGGCTTTAGACTCCATCATTTTTCTCGAAAATTATTACTCAAAGACACTTATACATTCTTTGAATTGTATATGGTGTCAGAAACTTTCCACGTGAGGCCATCCTAAACGTACATGATATCGTGAACTACATAGCATTTGCGAAACTTATTTTCGGTAATTATGCATAAAAGGGGCCTCCTCTCCGATTTGCTTCATTTTTAAATATGTTGTTGGGGATGTCTTCCCGAGTCATTTCATATAT